ACAGTCGCTCGAGAAGACTGTCTGGTAAGCCACTCGCTATGATGAGACAGCAGCAACTCACCAGTTCTGAATCAGAGGAATCTGCAGTCTCTGATGTGGCGTCGCCGGAAGATGGTTGTGGAGGCACAGCTGTTGATGTCAGGAGTGTCCAAATAGGTCGTCCGATTCCGCCCCTTGACGTGAAGAGGTTGTTGCGCAACCAGAGGGTGGAAGTTAATGAATTTTCCTCCCAGACCTCGTATAATGGGGCAGAGAAAGTTTTCCAAGAGACGAGGGAGAGGAAGTACGGCGCCATCTTCTTGCGGAATAGTGCCGACGGGAGTCAGAAGGAAGAAGGCGGGGGGACGACGAAGGTGCGTAGTGTCCAAGCTGGAGTCGTAGGTGTTCATATGTCAGATGAGCAGTTCTCGCGAGCTATCTTAGGGAGGATTCAGAGTGTGACGCAGACTACCACTAGGCAAATATTTCAAGGGGGGATCCTTGTTAGTAAAGAGGAATCAAGGAAGGAGTTTCATGTCGACATCATTGCAGGATTTGATGATTCAACCCAATCCGTTCAGTGAGATGTTAGACGCTATGCACAAGTTCATATGATGATCGCAGATAATAACCAAAGGACTTACTACGTGTAATAAAAAAAAAGAAAAGAAACGGACTCTGTATATTTTTCATGTTTTCATCAGTTATTAATTGTTCAAGTTTTGAGATGTTTTGTGACTTGCAGTTTTATAGTTAATGTTACGCACGGGATTAGTTGTTTTTAAGTTTATAAAACGAGGACGTTTTTAAATTAAGGAGGGGGCAGTGTAACGGAGTTGTTTCAACGTAGCGGGCGCATGTGGGTCAGTGCATGCGGGTGGGCAGTTAGGTATTAGGCATGAGCAAGAGAGGACGTGTTCGGGCAGGTAGCTAGGGAGGGCAGGATAAGATAGGTGAAACAGGGTGAATCGGAGTACTGCTACTAGCTGTTGAAGGGAAGTTACATTGTAAAGTTGGAGTTCTTCGTGAATAAAGGCAAGTACCTTTTGATGTAAAATGACACTGTGTTTCCGTGTATTATAGAAAAGTAGCGTGATCTGAGTGCGATCGATGATGTTGGAGTGATAGCTTCACTGTTTATGAAAGAACCGTGCGGGTGATTGGAGTCTCGTGAGATTTATTGACCGCTCGGTAAATGGTGCAGGGACCCCGGACAAAACCCGTTACAATATATTTGTTATAACATCTCCTCTTTTTGAGGTTATACATGTACAACTTTGTAGTTTAAATGAATATTTTCTTGGCTTGTACGTATATCTACAATGTACATGTAGCTTAAATCTTTGACTACTCATTGTTTTGATCCTGTGTGAAACCTCATCATTGTTCGTGGGTGGTTGACTGGTTGTTTATAACTTCAGGCCTTTGGAAAGTAAATAGACGTAGCTAGTATTGATCTCACTGGTATTTACAAGCTCGCTCTGATGCCCCCATAATGTACTGGTATGATCTTTTAACATTTAGAGACTATTCCCCTTCTATGAAAAATATTATAATGTACATACACATGTAGGCCCTACATGTCATTTACAACGTCTGTGAGATTAGAAAATCAATACTAATGTACATGTACATGTATATTCCACATATGAACGCATGTAATATGTATCTTTTAACCAGGAGTTGTGAGTGTACCAGAGCTGCCAACCATTATGTTTTTCCCGGAATTATTCTGTTTTTTCCTCGAAATTACGGTAGCACGTTTTTTTATTTAAACATTTTTTTTTTAAATACCGCACCTCAAACAGCTGCCCTAAAAAATAATGTTTAATAATTTGATTACGAATTCAATAGAAAACTAAGGTTAAAACATACTTGAAGAGAAAAATATATTTTAAAAAAGAATGTGTCGATAATACCAAAATACCTACTTGTAACTAAACTATACATGTACACTGTAGGCCCTAAAATGTAAAAAACAGCATGAGGAATGGACATTTCTGCATTGGAAGTGTGTCGCGCATGGTTGTAAGTTTCATTTAAATTTTTTTTTTTTTTGCCATCTTGGTTCCCTTTTTGGGTTGCACAAGGTTGGCAGCTCTGGTGTACATGTACAGAACATACATTATAGTAATACTTCTTTTGATACATTGTGCACTTTCAGACACAAACACAAGTTTTATATGTGCTTACTTGTTTTGTTCATAATAAATCGTGCATGATGTTTTTCTCTGTGTCAATATACATTGTACATGTACCTCTTCCTCAATGGTTGGACTTAATGGGAGAAATATTTTGCTTGCCCTACCTACATGTAGCAACGACTAATTTATGCAATTTGCAGATTTCAGAACATGGATTATAAAGCATACTGAAGAAACATTTTGAAATACATTTGTAGTATGACAGGTCTGTATGTTATTGACCAAAGTGCATTTTTTCCCTGGACAGTCATTATAAAGCTGGTTGGTTCATATACATTTACACGTTTATAATTTATAGTAAAATAATGTTATGCATACTTTACAATGTATACATGTACACCTCCTCATGACAACTGAAAAAAGTTTTAATTAAAGAATCACATGGATGAAGCACCAAATAGTATAGTATAGTATTAATGACTGCTTTGAGAGAAATAGTTGTTTTATTACGCTCAAGGGAAGGTTAGAATTGTGCTATTCCCCGAGGCTTGCCGAGGGGAATAGCCCAATTGTAACCTTCCCGAGAGCGTATGAAAACAACTATTTCTCGAATATTAAAGCAGTCATTAATACTTTTATATGCCGAAAAAAAATAGACTAAAAAATAAAAAATAAAAAATACTTTTTTTTTTGGTCCAAGATGAGATTCGAACTCTTGCGTACAAAAGGTGATGTATCTAAAGTCAGCGCCTCAGACCTCTCGGCCATCGCGCGTTATTAACATGCTGTGCAGTTTTGTATTATATATACATTAAAATGGATTGAAACCGGCTTTGCGTGTGATGAATGCTTCGCAAAAGCTCCATGAAACGGACCCTTCTTTTACTTTTGCAATGCATATTGGCACGAACTTAGATCAAGATCTATCGGCAGATGTTGTTTTTTTGTTTTTGAGAGTTAATTTTCGTCTTCATGTCAACAATGCAAGATAAAATTGTCGGTAAGATCGATCGAGATTCAATTGTATTGAAATTGCCGACCAATTATTCGCACACGTATGGTATCCTCCATCGCTCAAACCATTTTTTAACATGTAAACCTATGGGGTAACCATGGAGACTGACCTATTTTTTTAATAACCATGGTTATTAAAAATATTGAAATGTTTTATGCATGGTTACCGGGAATTTTACAGGAACAGTTGAAGTTTATGAATGCAATTCGACCAATCAGATGGCTGGATTTCTTAAGTGAGGTATATAAATTTCACTATTATATGAACCCTGCACATTTACCTCCATTTAATTCAAACAGTCAAACCATTTACACTCCAAGAGAAATATTTCAAATGACAGATGAACCCAAAACAAGATACCGATTCCTATTACTTCTTTGGGGAAACAATGTTTTGTCCCCCCCCCCCCCCCCCCCCCCCTCTCTCTCTCTCTCTCTCTCCCTCCCTCTCTCTGTCTACCTCTATCTCTCTCTATTTTTCCCTCCATCCCTCCATCTCTCCCTCTCTGTGTGAATATCTCTCTCTCTCTCTCTATCTCTTCCTCTCCCTCCCTCCCTCTCCCTCCCTCCCTCTCCCTCCCTCCCTCTTTCTCTCCCTTCCTCTTTCTCTCCCTCCCTCTTTCTCTCCCTCCCTTCCTCCCTCTTTCTCTCTCATTCTCTCTCATTCCTGCGCTCGATGTGCCTTTTGTACCCAATGCATGAATTATTCATCAGGAAAGTGTCAAATATTGTGTTGTCTGTTGGCCACCCCACAATCACCTTCTTGTGTCAATATTTGTCAGAAGTAGCCTGCTAAGCTTGCTCTAAAGCCAGATATATTGCTATTGAAGTCAATTCTTCTATTATTCCCAGTGAGATGTTTGTGTTGCCCGCAAAATGGAACTGAAGGAGGAGGTCGAGAGCTGGGCTTTCCTTTTCAAACAGTTAAATTGTTTTCGGTACGAAGATAAAAGAACCAGCCTGGTGGAAAACAGAAAGAATGTGAATTGGAATAACTATTAAAGAGAGAAAGTTTCACAGTATGTGAGTATTTCTTGAGGAGCTTCTGTTGATGTAGGAGTGTCACCGGCAGTACCAACTACCAGCACCCTTTGATACCAGGGAAGGGGTACCAGCGCTTCAGCAGAGGCACAAATGAACCCACCAGCATGTCATTTTAACTACTACTACCTCAAAGGAAACCACCCTATCAAATACCACCTCCTTCTGTTAATACACACAAACAAAGTTAGTTAAGATTTGCTTGTGCAACACTATAAATCAAACTCCACATGGCAAGAAGTTGTCAGAAGTTATGCCAAGGAATTAGAGTCTCTGATACTGGTGTCCTTGGTTGTTCTTGTCCTTTTGCAAGGTGAGTTAACAGGTGCGCCTTGCAGAAAAGAGAATTTTCGAGAGTGACTCCAGGAGAGTGTCAAAATAAAATTATTGTTGGTTCACAATCTCAGCCATTTTTATACAGAAAAAAAAAAATTCTTTCAACAGGTTGCTTCTCATGTTTTTTTTTATCCTCCCCCCTCGCCCAAGCTGTCTCTCCCCTTCCCCCTGAAAATACTCTGAGTTGCTTACTCTACATGTACATGTAGCTGAAGCACTCTATTCTTGTGACTTTTACTGAATGAAGAGACGATTTTATACAGTTTATCTATGATTTTGATTTTTAGGTCTTCAGTTGGACTTTTTTGCCAGTGGAACAGAAAGTTGTAATGCTTTTAGTGTTCAGGTGTGCATGTAAATCATCTGAGATGTTTTCAGAACATAGATTACAAAGCATAGTGGAAGAAACATTTTAAAAGGCATCAATACAATCACTATTCAGGAGATGAAAGTCATTTTGTTTTCTTCTCTCTCTTCTGTTTTCAGAAACTAGCTGAAATGGCCCAAGTACTTGAAGCAAGAGAATCCCAGATAATTCACCTCAGTCAACAGAACGGGGAACTGCAGGAGTCTGTTACAGATTTCAAAAGGTAAGTTTACTTCAAGGAACTGTCTTGATTTGAAAGTGCATGTTGAAAATCAGTTCCAACGGTGTTAAGAAATCAGATTGGCATCAAAAGTGGTATTGGATTTCATTCAATGTACCCCTCTTGTATGTATATGAAGTCTTTTTGCTGAAAGTGAATGACGTCCTTTACATGATCTATGAGATGTTGACATTGCTGAACACTTCCTGGGATAGCTTCAAGGAGCTGCTGAAAGGGCTTAGCACTTTCAACATTCAAGGTTCAAGAGATGTTTTTTTTATATACCTGTATATTCCAAGCCAAATTGATTAACAACATTATTACATTCATGACCACTGACCTTGACAAAATGTTGCATAGTGTCTGTAATCAAATGATTTATATGAATTTACTCAATTGTAATATATTCACCTTTAAAAATACATTGTATCATTTGACATGAAACGACAGCTGATAACAGACTTTTTGTTGTTGAAAGTTTCAAAATATTCAGGAGGTATCTCAACAAATCAGATATCGTGTAAGCTACACAAAGAAAAAAAAGGGAAGGGGAGGGAGAAATGCATTTTAATAGTTGAATCAGGGAGGTGGGAGGGACGCTATCATACTTTGTTGGGAAGTTACTGGTATGCACTTTGCCATTTTGGGGGATAACAAACAAAAACATTTTATAAAGGCGGTATAGCCAGTATTCCCTCCCATCTCCCTGGTTAAATGGTGAAATCCTGCATTTGAAATTAGCAGTGTGGGAGACAAATTTGTTTGTATATATAGCTCTTCGATCCCTTGACAGGCAAATTACTTGTTGATGAAAATAATCTAAAATTTAAAGATCAACCTGCAGCTAACACTTATCTAAGCTTTATCTTCATGCATACTTGAACTACCGGTATGAATGTTTCTGATTTAATAGTATTATTGTTTCAATCGAAGAGTATGCTACATGTATTTGTATTTTGTTCAGAATTTTGAGTTCAGAACTATAGATTTTAAACAACTATGTTCTACATGTATACTTTTCAGGTATTTATATGTAGGGATTAGGCAAGCACAGATTCTACTTAAAAACTATCAATAATGAATTGCATTATCACACAAGCTCAGAAAACATGACTTTGCCATCACTGCCTTAGAAAGGTACTCCATATGTACATGTATCTCCTGATTCTTTTGGGGGGGACATGTATTTTGTTGTTATTGTTTTTGTTATTGTTGCTTCATATCACCTTCTGTAATTTGTTTGTTGAAATTTCATGAAAAACCACCAATAAGAAAAACACTCTATTATGATGGAATCTATTTGTACTTGCATGTAAATCTGTTCTACTGTATATATATGTGATGGCTGTATATGACTATAGTACATAATCCATGTACAGTGTAAGTTGTTCATCTGTGTCATATGGAGCAACGAGCCTTGACTTAGCCGACCTCTTGAAGTCTTGGCTAACTTGATTACACCAGCTAGATGCTTGAATTTGTTCTTGAAAGTTGAACTGGTATTTTCTATTCTTAACTTGTCATGCATCGATCGCTAATTTTTATGCCTCCGCCACCGAAGGTGGTGCCGGAGGCATCATGTTTTCGGGTTGTCCGTCCGTACGTCCGTCCCGTTTGACCGTTATCACAATATCTCAAGAACCATTTAAGATTTAAACTTAAGACTCGGGAATAGTATTTATCACCATAGGAAGACGATCTGATTAGATTTTGGAGTACGTAGGTCAAAGGTCACAGGTCACAGAGGTCAACTTATGAAATTCCTTGTATTGAGTTTGTTAGCGCGATATCTCAAGAACCATTTGAGATTTAAACTTCAAACTTAAGGATAGTATGTATCACCATAGGAAGACGATCTGATTAGATTTTGGAGCACGTATGTCAAAGGTCAAGGGTCACAGAGGTCAACTTATGAAATTCCATACATTGAGATTGTTATCATGATATCTCAAGAACCACTGGAGATTTAAACTTCAAACTTAGTGATAGTGTGTATCACTATAGGAAAACAATCTGATTAGATTTTGGAGCACGTAGGTCAAAGGTCAAGGGTCATAGAGGTCAACTTATGAAATTCCATACATTGAGATTGTTATCATGATATCTCAAGAACCACTGGAGATGTAAAAACTTCAAACTTAAGGATAGTATGTATCACCATAGGAAGACGATCTGATTAGATTTTGGAGCACGTAGGTCAAAGGTCAAGGGTCACAGAGGTCAACTTATGAAATTCCATACATTGAGATTGTTATCATAATATCTCAAGAACCACTGGAGATTTAAACTTCAAACTTAATGATAGTGTGTATCACCATAGGAAGACAATCTGATTAGATTTTGGAGCACGTAGGTCAAAGGTCAAGGGTCACAGAGGTCAACTTATGAAATTCCATACATTGAGATCGTTTCGCGATATCTCAAGAACCACTGGAGAATATTCACTTCAAACTTAGTGATAGTGTGTATCACTATAGGAAAACAATCTGATTACATTTTGGAGCACGTAGGTCAAAGGTCAAGGGTCATAGAGGTCAACTTATGAAATTCCATACATTGAGATTGTTATCATGATATCTCAAGAACCACTGGAGATGTAAAAACTTCAAACTTAAGGATAGTATGTATCACCATAGGAAGACGATCTGATTAGATTTTGGAGCACGTAGGTCAAAGGTCAAGGGTCACAGAAGTCAACTTATGAAATTCCATACATTGAGATTGTTATCATAATATCTCAAGAACCACTGGAGATTTAAACTTCAAACTTAATGATAGTGTGTATCACCATAGGAAGACAATCTGATTAGATTTTGGAGCACGTAGGTCAAAGGTCAAGGGTCACAGAGGTCAACTTATGAAATTCCATACATTGAGATCGTTATCGCGATATCTCAAGAACCACTGGAGAATATTCACTTCAAACTTAGTGATAGTGTGTATCACTATAGGAAAACAATCTGATTACATTTTGGAGCACGTAGGTCAAAGGTCAAGGGTCATAGAGGTCAACTTATGAAATTCCATACATTGAGATTGTTATCATGATATCTCAAGAACCACTGGAGATGTAAAAACTTCAAACTTAAGGATAGTATGTATCACCATAGGAAGACGATCTGATTAGATTTTGGAGCACGTAGGTCAAAGGTCAAGGGTCACAGAAGTCAACTTATGAAATTCCATACATTGAGATTGTTATCATAATATCTCAAGAACCACTGGAGATTTAAACTTCAAACTTAATGATAGTGTGTATCACCATAGGAAGACAATCTGATTAGATTTTGGAGCACGTAGGTCAAAGGTCAAGGGTCACAGAGGTCAACTTATGAAATTCCATACATTGAGATCGTTATCGATTGTTTAAATTGCTCTATGGCGGAGGCATCATTTTCGACTGCGCGCAGTCAAAATTCCATCTAGTTATGACTGGTTTCATGAAAAAGACACAGGTACAACATGTACACATGTACATGTAGCCTTTATTACTAGTATTCTGAGACCCCCCCCCCCCCTCAGATACATGTACATGACAACACATACATGTACATTTACAAAGTATACTTTAACATTTAGAATGATTAATATTATTCATACATAAATATTTAAATTAAATATACAGTTGTCAATGAGATGATATGATCATATAGTTAAAATTTAAAAGTATGATTTATTGTTCTAAAAAATTTAGTGTTGAGTTTATAAAGGTTAAGCTTAATGTATTGACCCACTCACTGATTAATGAGCAATGAGTAACTTAAAATGTGTTCATGTACTGTACATGTACATAGTTGTAACCATGTGAAAGAAGAATTTCCACTTAATGTGGACAAAACAAATCAATCAATCAATCAATTTATGATGGGCCTAATTTATGAGATTCATCATTATAGATTATTTCTGACAGCAGAAAACAACCTGCCAAGTCGCAGTGCTACTACATGTATGATACAAATTAAATTTTCAAGGTCAAATATATTTGAAAATGATTGATGAGAACAAACTCATCCCATGGTCTCCAAAAAGCATACAGAGTTTATATAGTATGCTCTATGAGAATGCAAAAATGCGAACCTCTGAGTGTGGATCATATTATGCTTAGAGCATGATCTAACTGCTGTATCTTGAAGGTCTTCACATATTGTGAATTAGTGAAGCTTTCAAACGGCAAAACAACATGTTTTCTTTTAGGGTTTCAGGTTTTCCCCTTCCCCCCACCAGTTGTAGAATTAGAACTGAAATTCCTCACAACCACTGTTGCTTGGTAATTTTTATTACCAGAGCCTTTTTTTTCAAGTTTTTTTTTTCCTCTTTTTAAGCTCCTTGGAGCTAAACTCAGAGCTAAACTATTTTTCCACTACCGGTATTTTTTATATGTAACTGGAACTTTTAATGGTTTCAAAGCTTATTTTCCTTTTTAAAATTCCTGATATCAAGTGCAATGGGGTCATTTAAAAAAAAGTGAACACAATACATGTGCCCACTTATGCAGAAATATGTGCAGAAATGTTTGCTTTGATTGATTGATTTTATTTGCCAAGTCTCCAACCTACAACAATATGAAAGAATAACAGATCAAAATTAGGTCAGCTTGACTAGATAATCCACAAAAGCTCAAGAGCTTATTTCTAGTGGGGTGCTTGGATGCTTTACTGGACAAAGTGCCTTCAAATTCCTGTTTAAGAAAATTATCTTATGCAAAAGAAATGAAATTGACAAATAGAGTATGGGTTGGTGATGTAAGAAACATATATCCTACATAGACGCCAGCTCAGTGTAAAGATTATTATTATTATTTTATTTCATTTTATTTATTTTATTTGTTTACTGGAGCTATTGTAAAGATTTACATTTTTTCCTTGTGATTATTATGTTTTTCAATGTTGACCCGAGATTGTTTTTATTGGGGGGGGGGGGGGGGGGTAGGGGGGAGAAGTTTGCTTTGAGCTTTCGAGAGCCAAGTTGCTCACAGCTCCCATGTATCTTTCACAGACCCAGCCTGAGATATCTTAGGTACTGTGGTCCGTCATCAACAGCTTAAAATCAATAACGATATTAAGATGTATTCCTTTTTTTGTTTTTTTTGTTATTCCAGTCAGGTAGCAGTGTCCGAGGAGAAGAGGAAGAACGAGACGTACGATCTTCACAACCTGACCGATGAGTTCACACAGAGGATCAGCTCCATGGAGAAGAAATTACAACTGGCTAACAGAGAGAGGGACCAGTTCAAGAAAGATTCACAGAAGATGCAAAAGGCTCTGAATGACATGTAAGTAAAAGGAGAAATCGTCTGTCCGGAGTCAGAAGGGCATATAGTCATATACTTTAAAGGTACTATGTCCCATTTTTTTCGAAGCAGTAGATGAGGTTCAAGTCCCGCTGGTTCCAATTTTTTTTTTGACTTCGTTTTTCAATACAGATCGATCAATCGATCTTATTTACTGGGTGTAAGCCACAAATATGTTTAAATAATATGTCCCATTTGCAGGCCAAAAAAATGAAAAGGTTCATTAGGTCATTGATGTAGACAAATGCTCATGTACCCTTTTACAGCTCATTTTATTTTATACCAAAGAAGAAAAAAAAGCCAGTAAGTCTAGCAAGTAAACAGGGGGGTGTTTCATAAAGCATGACTTTACGAACGACTTGTATATGAAAAGCCAAATGGGATGCTCAATCATTATTAACTGCATCAACTCAAGGTGAACTGTGCAGATGTAGATTAGCATTCTTATTATAACAAGCATTTTTAATGCAATGTATATTTTTTGGTATAATTTAATTGAGGTTATTGGAAATATCAGGAAAAACTCTGGGCGTCCTATCTGGCACTTCATATCCAAGTCGTTCGTAAAGTCATGCGTAACTTTACAAACTGCTTTATGAAACACCCCCCAGGTTTCCTTGCATAATTTGAATATTAGGATACTGCTAATGTTTAAATTTCACAGATAGGACATACATGACATATTCATAATTCCTGCAAAGTTCTTCAGAATTTGATGTTGGCTGCAAAAGGGACATACCGTAGTATCTTTAAAGGTAAAGACCAGTATTGGCAACGCCCCAATTTCAAAAAATGAAATGGAAGCTCTCATTACCAATCATGTGAAAGAATATGTTTTGACTAATACATGATGATAAAAAATTTGCCGGGAAACCCCCTACTAATTCATATATTTGGTAAATTTATTTCTCTCATGGTCTGGTGAGAGAGATAGGGTAGTCCCATATACATCTTTCTGTGTATAGTGCTTGTAACTTTACGAAGAATGAGCCAAATTTCTTATCATTTTGATGATTCCAGAACCTTGCAGATGCTAGATGCTAGATGATCGACCTTTTCTGATCGATTCCACAACGTTTCTTTCACAATGCAATCGCATGACCATTACTGGTCTTTACCTTTAACACAAGTTCTGGCTCTGAACAAATAAAAATTTCATATTCTTCTTTTCCTTGAGGGTACATACATTGTAATCTAAATATTCTGCTATGATGTGATCAATTCACTTGCTATCAGCTGAGAGCCAGAGCCAAAATCATATCCTTTCAAGGAGAGTTAACACCCTTTTATATTGTTCCTCAATGCAGACATTGTATCATAGCTCCTGAATGAGAAACTATCAATTATGTAAGGGGTCATTCACTACAAAGATATATGTATGTCTCAAACCAGTACTTTATGATATCCTAAAAAAAAAAAAGAGTGATTTTAAGGCGGCATCCTTAGTTTTAGGCTGTCATTTCACCATGGATCCCTTGTTATTGTCATTCCCTCTGTAATTACGTGTACAGTACATGTAGTAATCTCATATCAGTTAAATCAGTTCAACCTCATTCAATAATCGATTTGTGTGAATTCACTAGTAAAATGCTGTTTGAGCTGGTTTCCGTTGATTAGTGGGGAGAAACTGGGTCAATTGGGGGACAGTGCATACCATTCAACATCAGTGTAGTGATTTTACCAGTATGGCTATTGACATTTCCATCTGTACGTCATTGAATGAATGTTTCTTTAGCTATTGTGTTGAGCTTATTCAATGATCGACCTTGTTCATAAGTACTTTGAGTGGAGAGGAGAGTTGTTAAAATACATTAGGTAGCTAAGATGTTTGCAGACATGTCTTTTCACTCACCCCATGACCTTTCTAATTCTTTCTTCTTTTCTCTCTCTCTCTCTCTCTTCCTCATTATATATATATTCTCTTCCTTCTCTCCTTTTTTTTCTCTCTCTTTTTTTTTCTCTCTATTTTTTTATATCATTTTCTTTCTTCCTTTATCATCTTTTTTTTTCTTTCTTTCTTTTATTCACTGTTTCCCTCTCTTTATTCTCTCATTTCTTTCTCTCTTTCTCTCTCTCTCTCTTCCTTTTCCTCTTTTTTCTTCTTTTCTTCTTTTTTCTTCTTTTCTTCTTTATCATTATTATACTTTCTGTCTTGCTCTTTCTTCTTTTAATTGCTCACATTTTTTTCTTTATACATGTGTCTCAAATTTTTATTTTTATTAAACTCTTTGTTCAATTTTGACTCAAAAATCTCTCTACTATTTTCACTTATTCATTAATTTATTTTTCATTTTGCTTTCTCTTGACCTCTCCCTTTTCCATGCGTCTTTTATTTGACCATCTCTCTCTCTCTCTCTCTCTCTCTCTATCTCCTCCTCTTCTCTCCTATCTCTCCCCCTTTCTCTCCCCTCCTATCTCCTCCTCCCTCCCTCTCTCCTTCCTTCCCTCTCTCCTTCCCTTCCTCTCTCTGTGTAGTGAGAAGAGTGATGTAACAGGCAAGGTGCTAGCTGAGAAAGATGAGCAGATCTCGGAGCTGATGGTGGAGGGCGAGAAGCTCTCCAAGCAGCAGCTCCAGAATTCAAACGTCATCAAGAAACTACGAGCCAAGGAGAAGGAAACAGATAGACTACTCAATTCACAAAAGTAAGTGATATACCGTAATACGTGGGGGCAAGCCCAAGGTACATGCCATACGTTACCAAGTATTGTTAATTTGTATTATAAAATTGTGAACATAAATCGAAATGAAAATGTAATTTCATTTGATGTTTTGCCTGATTCAAGCTCTTGTAGGGCTATCAGTTTGATATGGTCATCAAGATATACTGAAATCTGAGATGTGGTCAGTGACGTATTTGATAAAATAGCTTTGACTTGCCCACAGAGAAAAATAGTTTTGATAAATGTCTGTTTTGTGTCGCTGTTAGCATCTATTGTGTTATTTTGCAACTATTTGCGATTCTTTTTTTTTTTTTTGTAATACTGCTCTCTTCTATTTTGTCATGTAAACTTCCTTCCTTGTTTTCAAAGTCTCTCTGAAAATTGAATCTGCTTGTTGTAGCAGCATTCTAAGATACATGTCCTTCTTGTTCTGGGCATGACTGCAGGAAATGTTATGTATTCTAATATCTTATTTTTAGAAGCAAAGGCGTGTTTCAATTTCTTTTTTAAATAGAAATTTTGTGGAAGAGATTATTGAAGGGATAATTATTGAAGGGATACTTGACTTTAGAGTTTAGTATAGTTTTCTTAAAAACAAAATGGAAAACTATTTAAAGGACATGTACCACATTGCACAGCAAGAATAATTATGTGCATGTAGAGACATGTATGTATTATATATATATATTAGTTAATCATTTGATTACAGCTGTCATGTACCTGTATGTACATGTATAGACCTAATATATTTTGTAACTCTAATGTGTGATGTGCCTAATCCCTTGTTAATGTTACTCTATGCATTTTGAGTCTGGAGTCTAATCATTTAAATCAATATGTTCAGAGGCTGAGTTTCCCAGCTGTGTTTATATTTTGGTACGAGTCGGCACTCAATATTGTAGGTGCTTCTCTCTCCAACCATTTTACTCTTTTTCTACCTCTTTATCTATTTCCCTCTCTCACCCCTACCTCTATCTCTCTCTCTCTCTCTCTCTCTCTCTCTTTCTCTCTCCATCGCCTCCCCCTCCCTCCCCACTCCCCTCTCCCCTCTCTCTCTATCCCCTCCCCACTCCCCTCTCTTTCTGTCCCCTCCCCCTCCCCCCACTCCACTTCCTCCCTACTCTCCTCTCTCTCCACTCTCCTCTCTCTCTCTCGCTATCACCTTCCCTCTCTTCCCCACCCCTCTCTTCCCCACCCCTCTCCCCTCCCCCTCTCTCTGTACATTTATCTCCTTTCCCCTTTTCCCTACTGCTAAATCGCTTTTCTTCCATCTCTCTCCCCCTACCCTCTCCCACTCTCCTCTCCCACTCTGTCTGTCTCTCTCTCTCTCTCTCGCTCTTTATCTCTCTCTCTATCTCTCTCTCTTTCTCTCTCTTTCTCTCTCTCTCTCTCTCTCTCTCTCTCTCTTTCTCTCCCTCTCTCTGTAGTATGGGAATGGGACAGGTGAAGACCCAAATGGTATTGACACCATTACATTGCTTGTTTTCAAAACACTTGAAATGTTATGAGTGAAATTCCATGCTATACCGGTATGTCAAAATTTAACCATGTACATGTACGGTATTGTACCTGTACATGCAGGTTAAATGTGAAGTAGAGAGTAGAGAAGAGGCTCCAAATCGAGGTGTGGTGAATTATGGCATTTGATTGATTTTGCTTTGTCTGTGTTCAATTTAGATTGTTTATTTGTTTTAATATTTCAGATCGATTATAAAGATTTTACACAGGTGTATGGTAATGAAAGATAATTTTTTTCTGAAGTTAAAAGTTTATTCTGTTAATGTGTAATGAATTTTTTAGTCCCAAGGCAGATATCAATATAACATAATTTAATTTTGAGTATAATTGCAACCTATAAAATTGCTGCAAAGTAAAGTAAATAATAAATCGAATATAAATCCCATTTATTGATTTATTCAGATTTAGAGACATACATGTATGGTTAATTTGTGCAAAACAAGCTAACATGCTATCGGCCGAGCTGAATCGTGATGAATTTTCAAAGAGGACTGGTTGCTTTGAAATTGTTTGTTAAATTCAAATAATAATTGAGCAGGGGAGGGGGAGGAATAGAATACACCTCCATATTTAATAACTCAATTTATGACACTATTTAACAGGGAACAGTTGGATGAAGCAGAAGCAAGAGTCTCTCATCTAGAACAAGTCTTGGATGGCAAAGAGGATGTAGAAAAGAGGCAGAAAGGTAAGACTTTTATTTGTAAAAGCCTACTATTTAATCCAGGTTTAAACCCCAATTAAGTGGGTAGAGTTAGTTCATCAAGTTGCTTAGCTTCGACCTATTCTTTCCATAAATGTTCTTTCATTCTATAACTAAAAGGACAAATAGAAGTCTTGTTTTGAAATTTCCCAATTTTATCTCACAACTGGAATCATTGTAAAAAACATTTTTGTTTTTTTGTTTACAAAATGTCACTTTGTACTCAATAAATCAGTTGTTTAATTGAGGAACAAACCCTTCTGCCTTGTATTAAACTCATTTTTAAACTTTTTTTAAAACGTTTATTTTAAGGAACTTACCGTATGAACACTACTGTTAAATAGTAAATACCACACAATTCAGCTTAAAGTTTGATTTTTATTTAAATATACATGTTCATGTATTATTGTGAATATGAGAGTTTAAGACTTAATAGATGATTAAGCCATTTTGTAGTATGACTATAGATTTGATCTGAGTATGAATAAATCAAGTGAATACCATTCATTCCACATGAACAGATGCCATCAAGACATTGAATTCTGCCGTAGAGAAACAAGAGAAGGAGATCTTGAATCTCAAGTCTGAGTTGGAAGATGGGAGGGATAAAGTACGCAGTACACAACATGCCTTGGATGCCTCATACAAGTAAGTCAAGATTCTTGTCAAAAAATAATTTGGATACACCATGATTTAAGTAAATGCAATATACTTTGTTTCCAGGAAAAGACAGATAAGATAACAGAAACTGTATTGAACAAAATTGTTGTCAAAATATTTAGAAGTAAACTGTTGATCCATATGTGCCACTGAGTTCAAGAACAACTATCATGAATTTTTACCTGAAAGTGACATTTGAGATTTTCTTTTTGTTTCTTAATAGATTGTTAATGAATGTAATATTTTATTTTCCCTGTTTTGCTTCAGGATGGGAAAATAGTCCAGGTTTGCTTTGATGTCCAAACTGTTTCATATTAGTACAAATTTAAGATAGGAAAATTTTTAAAATTTTAAGGTGTAATAACTTAAAACAAAAACAACAAAAAAGAAGATGATGTTGCATCTTAGAACATGCTGGATGTTAGTGGCTTACCCTCAAAGTTTTGTAATTATGAGGCCTTATTTAATGATAAATTCTTATCTTCTTTCTCAATTTGTAAACAGGGAGATTGCTGAGCTCCATCGCAGCATTGCCTCCAAGCAGAGTAAGGTCCAGGAGACTGCCCTCAGTGCCGAGATGAATGCCAAGGAAGAACTCAAACTGGCCCTGGATCGCTCCCAGCTAGAGGCTAGGAGACAGCACGAGGGTCTCCTTCTACAGGTGGGTTTACTTTAGGATGCTTCTTCTAGTTCAAATCTGTCTTTGATTATGCTTGAACACTCTTTTGCAAGGAAAGTTATGGAGGGTAAATGGTTGCCAATTTAAATCAACAGTGATTTAGTCACTGATTTGGACTCCTGCTACAGGTGGGTTTACTTTAGGATGCTTCTTCTTGTTCAAATCTGTCTTTGATTGTGCTTGAGCACTCTTTTGCAAGGAAAGTTATGGAGGGTAAATGGTTGCCAATTTAAATCAATGGTGATTTAATCACTGATTTGGATCATTAATTCAATAATAACCAGTGAATGATATCGATTTGTATGATTAGTTTGATTTAAATCACTATTATACTCTTTATTATTAAGTAATGAAATATTCAAATTGGCAACATTGACAAGCATAGTTCTTGCCTCCTCGTGAATATTAGCATTAGTTTCATCACATGTACAACTTTTTAAAAGCGTTTTCTTGTCTCTCTCTCTCTCTCTCTCTCTCTCTCTCTCTTGATTGACCATGGCGATCATGCTGTTCCACAACCCTCGGCTCCTAACCTTCTCTATAAGCACTAACCCCAGTTCCTTCACTCCTTTCTCTTCTTACAATTTCTGCAGACTGTCCATCCAAAGTATCCTTCTTCTTTCCCTACTCCTCCTTCCCATAATTTCCCTTTCAAAGCAAGATTCTCTAGGCCTTCATGTATATACATTGGATAGAAAAGCATTAAAATAAATTTATCAGCATTGCCTATTTCAAGAGTAAAGTTATTTACTAAGCCATTGTTAGCCTTTAGTAAGTGTTAGGATAATCATGATCTCTCTCTCTCATTTATTGTAGGTCAACGATCTTCAGTTGAGCCTGAACCGAGCCGACCAGCAGAACGCACGTAAAGAAGATTCCTTCAGACAGGAGATCTCTGACCTTCAGCAGAGGTTACAGGAATCAGAGGCACGTAACCAGGAGCTCAGTCAAAGCGTTACTGCAGGTCAGTTCCTATTGGAAAAAGAAACGTTTGCCGTACATTCAGAGGTGTCTCAACACAGCAATAGCGTCCTTTGGCAATACATTCATTTAAACTGGCCACTCTTCACCCAGGTGTTAAATGAAGTGGGTACTGGTAGGAAGGATTTCCTTGAATGCTATGAGCACTGAGATCGGTAGCCTCAACTGAGTCTGGGTAGTAATATTGGAGCACCTTGAGAACCTTATGTTATGGATATGAGCGTTAAAAAGAATATGATTCATAAAGAAGACTATATATGCCATACTCTCTTTTTAATCAGTGGCCTTCTAAATTCCCATTTCATCTTCCTAGTCTCACCTGTTGCCCCCTCAGTTGCCTTCCTCGCGCTTCCTGCTGGCATCGTACCATAAGCAGGATGCAAATACCTAAACTCCCTTCATGATGATTGTAAAACCTCTCATTTCTCCCTACTAATTAATATTCATGAGTTTCCATTAGGACAGTGTTTGATATGAAAGGCATATTTGATGGCAGGTAATTTTGTTGTGCTCACAATGCGTTTAAAGAGAGAAAGTTTCGGCAACTTCAGAGGGTCAGAGAGAAAATGCAAACAGATCGATTACACTCAAGTACAATGGAGGGATTAACAACCCTAAATCCCTTTTATTGTGTACTTCAAGTGCTGATAAACGTGGGTAAACTTGAAAGTAGGCTGCCCCTGTCAATGTGAGGACAAAATCAAACAAGGTATTATCGAGAGTCTATTGGCAAAGAAATGCAGAGGAACGCCCTTACAATGAAGTTGCATCACCAAACAAGTTATCTTAGTCCTACTGGAATTTGAGCAAATTCATTAAAAAAGGCCTTATATACATTTAGATTGGGGTTGTTTTGGATATGTTTTTCCAATTTTCTGGAAAACATAGGCATAATTTTACCAAAGATAGACAAAGAAATTTCTTGATGTATGCTAATTCTTGTGTACCAATGTAAGTATTTGAATTGTTTGATGATTTAAAGCTTGTCTGAGGCTTTCATGACACATCGTTTTTCACATCACTACAGTCTATTGGGGAAAACAAGTATGGTAAAACCGGTCACTCAAAGGTTTTTTACTTTTTTGAGGCACTTCTTGATCATTTTGAAGCGCAATTTTTTTAGGGCTTCAATATAACACCATATCACAGACACTGAGATCATGTAGGGCTGTGCATCTCAGATTTAACAGTGTTAAATGATCCATTTAAATTGTGTTTCAACAATTTCTCTTCCGATGCAGCTACCAGACCGTTGCTCCGGCAGATTGAGAATCTCCAGGCCACCTTCAACGCCCAGTCCTCGTCTTGGGAGCAGGTGGAACGGAGTCTGACGGAACGTCTGAGCGACGCCCAAAACCAGCTTGCGGTGTCTACAGAGAAGGAGCGAGGGGCGCAGGAGATGGCCATAGAAGCCAGCTCCAAGGTGGCTGCTCTTGAGTCTCAGCTAGCCATGCTGAGGCAGGAGAAGTCAAGGCTTAGTGCACTCCTGGAGATGGAGAAGGCAAGGCTGGAGAGTCTGGAAGAGAGCAAAATTAGGTAAGCAGGGTTGGGTGTCGTCAATAGACCAGTTCACGGTTAGCCCATTACTGCAATGACCCCAAATATCCACAGATCTTCAAAACATGAAGAGGTCCCACTTTGTACATTTTGAAATAATCACTCCTACAGCGATGGAGGTGCTTCTAAAATAGCCTTTGTTTCCCCTTTTCAAAGTATACTTCCACCTGTGTATCATGGAGTGCACTGCTTGTGCATGGATGAATAATGATTAGTGGAGGTGGTGGTTATTTTACCTGACTGCTAAGAAAGCATAAATGCTTGTAAGTAAGCAACCAGAAGGCCGACGGCTTTAGGTCCTCTCCGAGGGACCTGGTAATGAGGATTAATGGATTGCCAAAGGGCACTAGCGCATCGCCTTGGTTTCCAACCCGGGTCAGCGGATTACGAGACCACTGCTCTACTGACTGAGCTATTACGCCTCCATAACATAACTTTCAAGAGCACGTATCCAGAAATTTGTCTCTGTGTATTTCACAATTTGTTCTGCAATGACCTTTATCTGCTCATGCTCAGACTGCAACCGTGAACTGGCTCATTGTGCAGGAGTGAGAAGACTGCTATGTTTACTTCTGACTGAGAATCTTAGACATGCTTCTTAAGCTAAAGCGCCTGAATGTTAACTCAAAATGTTTGGTCTGAGGTTTCCTGACATAGCAACATATGTATGCCGGTTAGATTTGTTCCCTGAGATGCTACAGTTAAAACTGTCTATAGTGGCCTTTGTAGACAGGTGGTCTTTGTAGACAGATTTCTTTAGTACATGATTCAATGAGAAACCATTTTTAAGAGAAACAAAAAATGTGGCCTTTGAAAACAAGTGGTCTTCGTAGACAGGTGGTCACTAAAGCAGGTTTGACTTTTTTAACAAAACAGGCATTATACCTCATGAGATCCTGAGTCACAAAACCATTGATCGGAAAACATGTTTAAAGCTCCATGTTTATGTTACTGTTATTCCTGTATTTCACATTGGTCTCCATATCCCAAGTGTTCAATATTAAAGATTTAAGATTCAAGAAAATTTATTGTCTGATTTTAAAAATACAGAAATTCGTTCTCCACTGGTGAGTGACATACATATACAAGGAACATAAACAATATATACATTCGAGGATACAAAGAAAATACAACAATAATAATAATAACAATAATAGCAATAACAAAACTGACATGGAAATATGAAAAATTGAAGCTTGACAATGCACAGAATGCATGAAATAGATGAAATAAATGTACTCTGAACATTCATGACGTTGTCCATTCTGGTGCCATCTTTCAGGGACTTCAGCCACATGGAGAACCAGCTTCAGAACTACCTGAGATCCGTGGAGGAGGCTCAGCAGGAGAAGTCAGACCTGGAGAAACAGCTCAACATTGAGCGCATCAAGGTGGAGACAGAGAGGAAGAAGCTGAGTTTAACCCAGGAGGCACTAGAGGAAAAGGTAGGAAAAATTATTGAGAATTCAAAGCCCCACTGCACAACTTATAGATACTTGTGCCCTCTATATAGCAAAAAATGCCTAATAGTTGCCTGTTGGTCCCCCATGATCCCCTTATTCTTATGTTAATTGAGAGCTGATTTGATGAGATGATCACCTGTCAGTGACCATGCAGGGAGGTCTAATCCCCCCTGGCCAAACTAGTACAGACAGTCTTTAACTCTTTATTTGGCATGGATCAAAATCTTGGCCTGCCTACTTGTTTATCCCATTGGTTGACCAACACCTTGTCCTATCCCTTGCAAGACAGGGATTTTGTTAGGGCTGAATTGATCACATGTTGTTCCTCAAATTTGCAACAATGAGATTTTAATTTTAATGCTACACTCTTCTAATGAAAACAATATCTCTGATAAAAAATAATCAGTACTAATTTTGTTGAGAAGTTTAAAAAATAGCAAATTTTAATAGAAAAACAATTGCTAATTTAAAAGATTTTAAGGAAAATTCCTGGCGTCAAACGTAATGTGGTCATGCAACAAAAGTGGACACAACCTTTGCATAAATTGTTGCTCTTTATTTCATGCATCTGTTATATTGTTCAGGGCTATAAATAAAAAGTCATTGTGCCTGACCACAAAATGTGGAATGATTGTCCTAAAAGTGAAATAGTGTTTTATGATATAAGACCCTCAAAACATGATATCCCTGATGTTTTATTTGACAGGAGAGGCGGTTACAGCAGGCCGAAGATAACTCTGGTTCACCTAGCCCCAGCTCGAGAGCTAGCACTCCTGTCCATTCTGAAATCAGACCTTCATTTATCACTAGTATATCCAGGACACCCTCCCAGGTGAGTTAAGAGAACTTGTCTTGGTTTGAGTGTAATATGTGTAGCCAAAATAAATGTGGATGTTCACGAAGTAACAAGATGTGTCATTAGTGGAAGGGTTTCTAAGTGGTAGAAATTGATTGTGTGATTTGAATTTTTGACTGAAAGATTTAGTGCTTGTTTATATGCTTGATTGCTTCTTATGTTTATTGATTTCTTATTTCATTTTGTGTGCCCATAATTGAATTACAAAATTAATGTTTCGTTGATGGATTGGTAGAATGACGGAATTGGTAATGATTGACATTTTAGATTGGTTTGGTATTTTTAACAAATTAACTGGCATTGAATGATGGAATGGTTGATTGATTAATTGATTGATCTGTGAAATATATGACTGAATTGTACAACAACATTTTGTTTTATAATCAAACATATACAAAGTTATATAAAAGTCATCACAATATTGTTGTGGTGTAGTTATTTTGTTCTTTTTCTGTATCTTATTCTGTATTCATTGTTTGTTACGAATATGATAAATTTCTTTCAAAATCTGAAATGAGATTTTAATGAATTTGTAGTTAATGAAACAAAACTATATTTAGAGAACTTGGACACAAAGAAATTCAAAGCAACCTTCAATCATCTGGTATAGAGGCTTAAAAATGAAAGTATGAAACTTCTTTTATATATATCTACCATCCAAAAATAATAAAAAGTTGTTATATTTATCTTTTCTAGGGTGAAATCTTGGAGAGGACCATGTCAATGAGTATGACAGGCTCTGTGTATGATAACATTTTGTCAAGTTCATCAACGTCCATTATTGAGAGTCTACAATCACAGCTGAAACAGAAAGAAGGGGAAATATCACAGCTTCAGGTAGGCCCCACATGTAGACATTATCGTAGGCTTTTACATTCATATCCCGAAACCTGAAGAATGTTAGTGCATATAAGATATGTTTGTTTGTTCTTCAATTATGAGTTGTATCTTACATACCAAAGGTCTCTGCCTAGAAAAAGTTCAGTCCAGGATACGCATATTACAAATCACAGCTACCTTTATCTGTATAATAACTATGAAACTTACTATGAAATAAATCAAACAAGGGACCACAATTTTTTTGTTATGAAATTCTGCCCCCCTTTTTACTGAAGAATAAAAGGTCTAAAGCTATAGAGGAAAAGGAACACATATTATAACCTAGTCATGATTAGTATAAACAATTTTAATCTTGATTTTACTGGAGGATACCGAAATCTTGTTGCAGTAACGATTTAATCTTTAATCAGATATTAAAACTTTCTCAAATACAAAGTAAAGACATTCATTGTGAGAGCCCTGCCGTTTCATTACAATCAGAAACATTGCCAATTTGGCTTTAATATATTTTCTAGCAGTTAAGAGGCGTGACGTGCCTATTTGGGATATAGACACCTGGGCCCATATTAACAAAACCTTACTAAGCTATAGTTTGAACATATTTGTGGCTTACACCCAGTAAATAAGATCGATTGATCGATCTGCACACTGGGTGTAAGCCACAAATATGTTCAAACTATTGAAATTTCTCCCAGGAAGCATTACATTTATAAAAAAAGTTATTGTCCTATGGCTGATTAATGAATATTAATAAGTCAGACTGAATCAGGAGAGCTTGGGTATTTGTTTCTAGTTCATCGTGACTGTGCCATGGACCAGTGATGGCCTGGTGGTAGAGTTGCTGCCCGGCAAGCAGTAGATGGCAGGTTCAAATCCCGCTGGTTCCAAGATTTTTCGTGACTTGTTTTTCAATTACAGATCGATCAATCGATCTTATTTACTGGGTGTAAGCCACAAATATGTTCAAACTATTGAAATTTCCCCTAGAAGCAATACATTTATAAAAAAAAAACTTACTAAGCTAGTTATCAAGTAATTACATAGGCTACAGTGCACAGTAAGTTGACCACTAGGCTTAGGAAAGTTTTATGAATGTCTTTTATGAGCTTGGAAGATAACATGATAAAGCACTTAATTATCTGCATTAATTAAAAACATTTTTGTGTATGTTTTCATCTGTTATTCCTAGTCTGAAATCTATCAGCTAGAGAGAACGAGATCATCAATGGCCGAGGAGATCGTAACGCTGACCAATCAGACCGATAGACTGGAAGAAGAAGTCAGTTATATACCAGAACTCAGAATACAACAAAAGGTAAATCAGATGAACAAAGGGTTATTGATTACAAGACAGATTTAGATTACATGTATCACTGGAAGGCAACGCTCGAAATACATGTACACGGGGGCAACGGGCAATTTGCCCCTCGTGAGCTACAAAAATTGCCTCCTTCAGTTTGCTCACGGGGGTTATTGCAAAAATAATAATCACCCCCGTGGAATTATCTTATCTGTTATGACTTTCTCACAATAATAAGTTTCAAACCTTAAATAAATGTAATGGAACTATGGAAGTAAAATTAGCGTGCAAGATTTCTTGCTCAAATTTATCAGTGTCTGGTGGCAGCCATATTGTAAACAAATGTATGCTTATTCGCAGCACATCTCAACATCTCTATGAGTATTACCGATAAAAACAACAGAAGCTCGCAGCTCAGTGCAGCAGTCAGCAGCGGCTATACTTGTAAATTAGTATTAAAAAAGAGCCCCCATGGAAAAAAATAATAATTTGAGGCTTGCTGACGGGTTTATTTACCCAGGGTAGCCACTCTCCTTCCTTCCCACCTCTGCAATTATTTTTGCCCCCCGCACATTTGTTAGTGTGTAGATTCATTCATTGTGTGGCGTGAAAGGAAAGAAATGTGCAAAGTTCCTTGCACCAAAGCACTTCTGAACTAAAAGTGTGCCTTGTATTCTAATAGCACTCACCGTCATTCAAAGAAAACTCTGAACTCTCGACTCTGGGCAAAATGAAAAATGATTTGAGCTTTCTCATTCTGTGCATGTCAGTATGGAAATATATTGTACTGAAAATATCCACTGAAAAGGATTGCTCTTCAAATGCCCTTGTATTTGAAACATAACAAGAAATAGCTGATTAGTTTGGACCAAACTTTTAAACCACAAGTGAGTGAAGTCCCATTTACCCACTTCTGTGTGCAGTATATGTGATTTTCAGCAAGATATAGTCAGTTTCTTTTCATTTTGGTCATTCAAAAACCTCACAGTACATAGCGATTCTTCAGTCAATTTTCTTTCATAATGCTATTGCATGACCAGTACTCAACTGTGTCTTTCATGATCATGTTTCCTCTCTAGGACCTGCAACATCGTTACAATGCAGTGCTTCAGATGTATGGTGAGAAGGCTGAGGAGGTACAAGAACTTAAACTAGATTTACAGGATGTCAAGGAGATGTACAGACAACAGGTAAATAATATTTATTATAAGATGATGACGTGGATCCTAATCAAATGATTGGTCGAGAGCATACACGTGACCAGGCATTTATTTTGCCTAACGCGTAATTTGGATAATGACCGATTATTATCCAATGGTAATGACCGGTCATTAGTAAAATCATGTTATAAAACAAATAAAACATAATCTAATAAAACAAATAATATCATCATTTTGTTCGGGCATTAGTAAAATTACCCACACTCAGTACCTTCAAAACAGTCCAAACACCCTCGGCTATCGCCTTGGGCGTGTTAGAGTGTTCCAAAGGTACCTTGTGTGGGTAATTCTTACTAATGCCCTCATTGCTGTGTATTATTTGTATACTATTTTTACTTTGTAATATTTATGTTTTCATACTTTGTATGACATGGTTGTTTGAATGTTTGCGATTTGTTTGTTCGTTTGTTTACCGGACAGCTAAGAAAGCCTGTGTATGCTTGTTAGTAAGCAACCAGCGGACCGCCTGTTTTAAAGTCCTCTCTGAGAACTTGGTAATGAGGATTAATGCATTACCACAGGGCATAGCGCATCAACTTGGTTTCGAACCCAGGAACTCCTGGTTACAAGACCACTGTGCCACCACTGTGCCATTACACCACCTCATTTTTTGTTTAAATAGCCACTTTAGGTTTCAACAGATAATTGTGCACACCTGGGCCCCGTCTTACAAAGAGTTGATATCAATTGTAATTTGTTTGTGATTGATATCAATCACAACTATGTATATAAGAGAAAGGAGACTGTAAACTTGGGATTTATTGGAGGACTTGCGATTGATTTGGATCAATTGCGACTCTTTGTAAGATGGGCCCTTGTCATACCAGTATTACCTGTGAGGAGAGTTCCCATTGGCCAATCAAGTTGGTTCGCTGTTGCTCTGATGATATTACCTGAATATATTTCTAATCTATTAGAAAACAATAATAACTAGGTATGTTCCAATAACCAAAGGGAGTAAATTACATGCTAATTGTTGTTAGAAGAAATGAAGTTTTAATGTTATTTCTTGCAAACTAGATGAATGGCTTGACTGACACCTTTTTTTTCTCTTTTTTTCACAGATTGAAGATTTAATCCGGGGGTCAACATAAGGCAACCGTCCTCAATCATCCAAACTTCATTCCTGCCATAAAAGATATATCAAGACCAATTCTGCATTATACATACATATTGAGGACATGATTACTAGATGTTGACAGGCAAAGAGATTGTTCTGACTTTCTTCGCAGGGTACTGGTAGGGGTTATTTCATACTTGGAAGGCTCTTTGTTGCTTTTGCTTAATTTGTTTGATTGCCTTGATCCCTCTGGGATATTTGGACTGCGTAATAGCTCTTCAAACGTCCATCTTTTGTCTTTTCTGTTTTTGAAAGTAAGATTGGATGAATACTTGATGACAAACTGAGTGTGATAACCAAGAAGAAGTAGAATTGTCCCAACCTTACTTGCATTTGCCAAGATAATATATAAGACAAATATTCTGAGTTACAATTGGAGACACATGTAGAAGTTACCAAATATCCAACGCAGAACTGACAGAAGAATAAAGAAACTACATCAATTCAATTTCAATTCAATTTTTATTGTCCAATGGAAATTTGCTTTGCTCACATTTTGCCTACAACTTTACATAACATAATATAAATAGCATAGCAAATGTAGAGATCACGACATAGGTAGATATTATAACATGATAAATATATCTCGTTGTATCCAGGTGTTGATGATGATGATAACATTTTGTCAATGATTTGTCCTCTGTGAACAACCAATTGCAAATTTGATGTTCGGTTGTAAACTTGATATTATTCCACTGGAATATTACATATTGGTGATTATGGTGATGATGCTAATGATGACAACAGTGATGATAATGATTATGACATGCATATTTCAAGTTACAACTTAAATTTACCATTCCAATGGAATGCTAATACAACATTGATTGATGATTGGTAGTTGAATAGTGATATATTTTGACTACATTTGAAGAAAACATATAAGTGCTGCCTGTTTTCTCCTTATCAAGTTTTTTGATATAGTAAGCCACTATCGTTATTGTTGTAAGTTATCATACTGATCACTTATTTATGAAGCAAGAGTCAAACCCAATATATTCAAGACTAGACTTCACAGTCTGATTAGTCTGATAACGAGTGCAATTTGAGCAGAACTCAGTGTCAATAGGAAAAAATAGTGTTTTCGCAAAATTAAGATTATTTTTATATCATTACTAGTAAGAGTTCATCAGTTACTATCATTGGCAATATAGAATGGTGTGTATTAGTAGTAGTGTACTCAAATATGTTCATTTTCAACCGATACGTGTCGTTCTTGCTTTGTACAACGACTTGATATGAGTTCCTTCCAAGAGCTGTTTATGATGGTAGCCTCACAATTCTTTTAATTGTAGTATTTATATGAAATTATGTCCATTTTTATGCTAGTTTACTATTTGAGCTTTTTTTGTATACTCTGTATAAAAAATATGTATATTATGAATTGTAAATATAAGTCTCTATCTTGAATTTAAAAAGAATAATTATCTTTGATGTGTGATATATATACGTAGGTTGGAATTAGCAATGTCATTCTAGTTGACAATATTCTATCTCTTGCACATAGCGTGCACTTTGTTGTAGAATGGTACACTTTTGTTTTGATGCCGTGCATTGATGAAAAATAATATTCATGCGCCATGTCAAATTTATCAACCATTTAGAAAAAATACAGCCTTACAACATACAATTAATTACTGTTGTGAGTAGCATACCCAAATGTTAGGTCATGCATGTGTTGCTTTATTTTCTTCATAGACCTGTAAGAGGGTTTATTTATTATCTAATAGAATCTGGTTGAAATAAGGAAAACTATGTCCAGTTGCATTCAAATAGCTAATTTAGTCTCATTTTGCATATAATGTATGCTTGCTTTAAGAAACATAAGTAGTGTGTAATGTCATACATTTTGTCGATATTGCTTTGACATGTACATGTATTAATAACTTATTTTCCCTTAATTTGCCATTATATTTGATATGTTATTCTGTCAAAGACATTAGTGTATTTAATATTATTTCATGGGGGTTAAGAATAGTAAATATGTTTAAAAGTATAAAGCTTAAATACTTGTATCTTCACCTTTTCACTGTTTATGAAACAAATGTTGAAGTATACCTATGTCATGAATTGATTTTTATTTTACCTTACTACCAAGAAGTAAGTATATATATCCTCTTAGATAAGCAACTAGTGATCAACAGCTTTATGTCCTATCTGAGGGACTTGGTTATTGAGTATTACGGCTTGCCAAAGGGCACTAGGTCATGGACTCGGTTTTGAACCCAGTGCCTCCAGGTCATGACCCCACTGTTCTACCACTGAGTTGTTTGATGAAAAGACTGAATATTATTGTAAATTAAACATTGTCTTTTCTCTTCTCACTTTATTTGGAAAACAAATGTTTTGAAATATTATACATGTATGAGCCCTGACTCTATATAAAGATTTAGGGAATTCAGCATGTAAACAATTTTTTCTGACTATTTATGAATGTAACATCTGTTTTGGGTTAACTTGCCTTTTGAGAGATAGACAATTTTATGTTTAGAAAAGATCATCTTTAAATACTGATGTACTTGACTACATACCTTCTCCTAGGATTTTTTTCAGTTTTCTTTGCAACATTTGAAAAAATACTTTCCATTGATGAGAATTGACCTAAAGTAAATGAGAATAAACTTAATGGAAGTCATTTGAATGACATTGCACATTTACTATAATTTGAATACATATTTATTGATGTCGTATTCAGTAGAAAAATTTACATGATAGGATTTACCGCATAAATGTATTATGAAATTTGTTAAGTATAAATTTTGTTCATTCATATTGACCATCCATCAAACATAAGGATATTGATTATGTTTGTATTTCTAGCATTTTGAAAATTCCCAACAAATTCAATTCTTATCTAAGATATAATGAAGTGTTTTAAAATCATTGAGTATCATGTTATTTAAGCATTTATCATGTATTGTCTTTAGATATTAGTGCACGCAGGCTTTGAAATGTTGTTATAAGGCTGATTTGATTTGAAGAAATGTTTTGTATCGACCAAATTTTAAAAACTTAAATTTGCACACCATTTTGCTCCCAATGAGGCACCAGCGGATCATAAATGGAAAAAAAAAAGAATTTTAATAAACAAACTTGCAAACTCCCCCTCCCTCCCCTCCGCTAATCATTAAATACAACAATCAAGTGATTCACCTAATGAATGGTTTGTCATTTAGATAACCAGTTGTGTAAGCAGAACATGAAAAATTGCACAACGTTTGATTTCTTGAGATAGTTTTCGATGGCATTCTTACTGCTTCAGACAGATGAAAGTACAATTGCATTGTGTGTCTATTATGATCATATTGTAGAATGCTTTTATTATGTTCAAGAAATTCTTCTGTGATTGAAATTTTCATATTTATGTGTCTGTCTTCATTTGGTTGTTATGTGTAACAACAAAACATCAAATTAGTCCCGGTCGAATATTTTATGAATTATGGACAAAAATGCTTCACTTTTTTTTTTTTGGGGGGGGGGCCAAAATTAATTTACTACAACCACTTGTAGTTTTTGTTGAAAAATAGAAATAAAAGGAAGTGAAGGTAGGCCTACTAATGGTTTGAAGTGGAAACTATTGCTGAAATAGAGTGAACAAAAAAGGTACCATGTAGCGCGAGTTGATCTTTCATGGGATTGACCAAGGTGAGAGAGAGAGAGCGAAAGAGATATATTGTGGGTGTGAGAGAGTGAGAGAGATAAGTGGGAGGGAGAATGAAAGCGAAAGGGGCGGGGGAGAGAGTAAGAGAAGAGTGATACAGTGATTAAGTGGGCAGAAAGGAAGAGAGGGAGTGGAAACTAAAGAGAGAATAAAAGAAGGGGGCAAATCGTGAACGGGTAGCTAGGAGCGAGTAATGGGATACATTATATATATATTTTATACTAGTCAGGAGCTGGTGAGAAAAAAATACTCGGTGGCAAGATGGGCTGGTCAAATAAAAGGGCGGTGGAAGAAAAGGGCATAATTATAAAGATTGAGTAAAAGAAAAAATGAGTACAGGTTACTATAATAATGTCACAAAAATTATTATTTCAATACAAATTTGTATGTGATTTACAACTATTTGTAAAGGAATATTTTTCGCTTTGTTTGTTTTTGTTACGTGCAGCCATAAGAAAAAGCCACAGCTCATTACTCTCAACCTTACACTTAAATAAAATTATTTACATCTTTGTTAATGGCATACTCATCAACTACTGTTTGAAAGCCCTGGAATCCAAATATTCTTGCGGCTGGAGAGGTACAAAATGTTCAAATATAATAAAGAAATTTGACACAAAATGCCATAAGCTCAGATCAATCACATGTAGAAATTATTAGGAAAATGTTGAGCCTCGCACCTATTGGTGATCCAAATCAAATGCATGTATATTTAGCTTGATACGAATAATTGACTGTTCACAGCGTTGCACAATGGAAGAGCGACGAGGCTGTCGAACGATGACGTCACAATGCATTTTCTATCTGACGTCATCGGCATTATGATTGTGCAATGACAAGTATAAAGTAAATAGGTAAGTATATATGGGAATATGTACCACTACCTCTGGCTGGCTAAGCAGTGTGGATACTTCGTAACACAAAATGGTTTTGTACTTATCTGCTAAATAAGCTCTGTGGGTTCAAATCCCACTGCGTCCCTTTCTACACGCGCGATCCAGCCTTTTGTATTATGTTTTTTTTAACTGGTATAATAGTTTAATATGTATATTATAAGCCTGTATCTTAGCAAAGGAACTCCAATTAATCGAAACATTCATAGGTATTTAGGTGACAAGATTTTGATCGGCAATATATTAACATGTACTAAAATGATAATGGATTGACCTCCAAAGAGAGAGGGGGAGATAGAGGGTGAGGGAGAGAGAGAGGGAGAGAGAGAGAGAGAAAGAGAGGGGGAGGAGGAGAGAGAGAAAGAAAGAACATGGGAGAGAGAGAGCGAGAGAGAGGGGGGGGGGGTGGAGCGAGGAAAGCCGAGTCCGCATATTTTGAAAAGAGCGGGTGTAGAGAAAATACTAGGTGGCAAGCCTATAAAAAGAAGGGCAAATGTAGGGTGAGCGAAATTTGCATAACGTCATAACAGTTAGCTGATAAAAGATTATATTACATTTAACGCTTTCCAGATAAGTTAAAGATATGTTTAATTAATGGACTCCGTTGAATCGAAGAATTGGGAATGAATACTAATTGAATTGTTTTAATATATTATAAAGTAAAAATTATTTTTATTAGAATGCAAAAAACTTGAGAATAAGCGAAAAAGAAAAAAGTATAAATTGAATTTGTTAAAGTAGAAATGATCACTATTAGAATGTAAAAAGTAAAAACAAAACAAAATGGGTGCTAGGTAGCGCGAGTGGATCTTTCATGGGAACGACCCCCATTGTATAATCATTGACAGACCAATCGGCAAGAACAGTTAGAAGCGAAGTAACCACATCGCCAAGCTAGCGACCCGCTCCACTGGCGAAACAAATTAGGTTATGATATCTCGCTTCCGCCATCTTGGATATGTCGCAATCGCATTCTCTCTCTCTCTCTCTCTCTCTCTCTCTCTCTCTCTCTCTCTCTCTCTCTCTCTCTCTCTCTCTCTCTCTCTCTCTCTCTCCCTCTGTCAGTTTGTATCAATATTGAAATATAAACAATTTTAATGACCGCGACTGAATCGAATACCCAATGCTTGCTCGTTTTTGTTTGTCTTTCTTTTTAGTATTTGTGCAACCGAGCTTTTATCTTTATAGCTATGCATTACTGTGCTGCACTAACAAACTTATTGCATAGATATAGAGATACTTAAAGACTTCTATCTCTAACTCTGTGTAATTTATCTTCTAATAATGATAATATTCAGTTCTTGTATAGCGCATAATATATTATGAAATAACATCTCTATGCGCTTCCAAAGAGCCTTGGAAATTATTGCCCTATAGCTTAAGCGGTTTACCAACATATTCACATTTTGGGACGTTTCATAGTTTCATTCATTGGGACATATAGTGACCAGTTATTCCATTAACCTGTTATTAAACTATAACTTGGAATCCAGTCTGCATACATTACTTGGTGCTATGATGGTCAAGCCTTGGACAAGCTTTCGTGTTGTTAAAAACAACATTTGTTTGAAAACTATGCATACAATATTTGAAAGTGTTAGTAAACCGGTCAGACTATTGCACTGATCTATCTACCTCAACCCCCCCCCCTTTTTTCCCTGTCCCCCCCCCCCCCTCTCTCTCTCTCTCTCTCTCTCTCTCCCTCTCTTTCTTTCTGTATCTTTCTCTCACTGTCTCTATCTCTCTACATTTCTTTTTCTATCTCTCTACTATCCTCCCTCTCTGTCTCAGCATATTTCTCTCTCTCTCCGCTCTCGCTATCTCTTTCTCATGTTATTTAAATCCCTTCTTATTTTAAAATCAAATTTGTAATTTACTTTTTTATTCAATCACTCTTCATATTTTCATGCTCATACTGCGCTCGGCATAAGTCACTATGCTCTACGTGTAATTATGTCATGCATCGAATAGGGATATATCCTTTGATAATATGACGTCATGATAATAATAATTTTTCCTCATTAGTTTGCAGACACCAAACCCAGTCGCTGTGTGTAACATTTTTTGCACTGTGAGACTAGATTGATTAGCCCATACTACATAAATTATCTGGACTGTGTACTGCGGCTTGTTATTTTGACACAGCGAGGGACGGACAGAGCCAGGCTCTGCTCAAGACTGTATGAATTATTGTGGTTAAGCTTCAAATTAGGGTCTGTGCTCGTAGACTACTTTCATATCGCATGCATGAGAGTCTATCTAGCGATGATGGTATAAATACCTGCACTGACACCTCTGCTCAGCTGGCCAGCATTGTGGGTACTTCGTCCCGCAAATACGGTTTGCCTCTTATAGTGTTTTAAGGGTTGAGGGTTCAACTCCCCGGTGGGTTATAAATACTCCACAGGCGCCATCCAGCTTTTGAACAAAGTAGAATTCATTCTCCTTTAAAACAAATAGAATATGTCTGGTCAGACTGCCGCATTTAATGTCAATGTTTATTTAATATCGACTCTCTACCTTATCACTTTCTCTGCCCATCTCTCTCTCTCTCTCTCTCTCTCTCTCTTTCTCCCAACACACCCACACAAACACACACACACCATCTCTCTTATTCTCTCTATCCCTTTCTCATCCTCTCTGTCTTTCTCTATACCCCCGGTCTAGACTCTACACCCCTCTCTTTATTTATTTATTTTGTACTCTCTACCCCACCCCTCTCTCTCTCTCTCTCTCTCTCTCTCTCTCTCTCTTTCTCTTTCTCTCTCTACCTCATTTAATTTTTCCTCCCTTCCTCTCTCTCTCTCTCTTTATCTCCGCCTTTTACTTTCTCTCCCCCTCTCTTTATTTCTTTCTTTCTTTTATATTCCGTTTCTTGCTTACTTTCTCTCTCTCTCTCTCTCTCTCTCTCTCTCTCTCTCTCTCTCTCTCTCTCTCTCTCTCTCCCTCCCTCCCTCCCTCTCTCTCTCTCTCTCACTCCGTCTACAGTAGTTATTGATCAAGGGTAGGGAAAGGAGCGTTAATTGCTCAATTGCCGGTGAATGTTTCATCATAGTAGTCATTCCTGTTCCCACCAAGGAGCAATGTTTTTTTTATTTTCCAGTTATCGTCAACATCGATGGGGGAACTATGTCTTTACTCCTAACCCCCCCCCCCCCCCCCCCCCCCCCCCTCCCCCTCGCCCTTACCCAAAGATGTATTTTCTATAGGCACATGATCGTACCCATCGTGATATAGGTTTTTTTCAAAGTGCCTGTAACTAATCTCATTATTTGATTTCAAACCGGGTCTGCATATCAAATTAAGTTTTCCTCACAATCTCTTTACTGGCGTAATTTTCCTGATTTGTTTGTTTTACATTGTAAGCTAATCTCTTTGTGTCTCCTATTAATCATATTTAAAACATTTTAGAAAAGCATTTGGATAATTTCACGATGCATCCTCTAGTCATTTCAGTCTTTAGGCCTATACTAAACATCCTTGCGAAGATTTCAGCAATAAAATATGTACAAAAAGTGACGGATTCTCCGACGAGCAAGTGAACAAAAATGGTTCCTAATTTGTGACAGGCTTTAGGGTTTTGTGTTCATAATTATCTGAAAATCTGAAAAGCGAAAAATGGTCCATGGACTGGATAACAGGGCGGGTTTTACACAATGTATTAAAGGATATTTTAGTTGGGGGACGTGCTCTTTCACTTCTTCGTATAGCTAAATGGTATAGCCCTTATTAATCACATGAGTATCGTGGGTTCGATCCCCACTACGTCTCTTTCTACACGCGCGATCCAGCTTTTTTGAA